CGTGACAAACATAATAACACAAACGGTGTCTTTCTTCGTGCATACCTTTCAGTGGTAAGCCAGGGCGGCTGCTCTTGTGGTTAATTCTAGTCGGAACGATGAGTAGAGAAACTTGTTTAGCTGGATGCAAATGGCAAAATGTGATTGAATAAAGCATGTAAGCTGGCATTACAACTCACTGAGCACTGAGCCTCACAGAAGGTTCTAGAGCAACTGGATATTTGGCTCGCGACATCAACTCAGCTCAGGATGATAACGCGAGACCGGACTTGTACTCCCCCGTGGATATCCAACTCACTCTCTACAAGCGGCGCATGATATCGCCGGTCAATTCGAAGTGTCCACGAGACCGCAGAGAGTCCGCTTGTGCTGAAATCGAGTCCGAGCGGCAGCTTTGCGAGCAGGTCACCAGTCGGTTTGAACTCGACTGTAAATTCACCTTTGTGAACCAGGTCTTTGGTCGCGCGATACTTCAGATTGATCATCTTCTGCGCCTCGCTGAGGCCGTTGCGTTGGAGGCGCTTTATTGCAGACTGGCTGTCCATGAGAAGTTACAGCGAAGGCCCCTCCTGCAACAACTCGTTCACAATCACTTGCACAATCAGCGCTTCTTCGACACCAGAGTCCGCGGTCATATACCCTGCAGCAGTGCTCGACTTGGCTACTACGGTCTGCTTCTTGCTGAACCACGCGACCGGGCATCCAAACAGTTAGACTACGCAGCCTGATACGCTTTTCCAATCAGTGCGATCGTGCGCACATTCCGAAATACTCCACGATCACAAAAAAAAAAACACGAACTACCACGAGACCTGCGACTGAAGCATAGATATCAATGAAGGGAAGGAGCCACTCTTGCGTATCGCCACGGGCGACAAATCTTGCCTTGAATCGCTCAACCTTTCCGTCCGTCCCGGTTTTCAAGCGAAACGGCAGGGTGTGGTCGAGAACGCGGACGCCTGTTGAAGGTGTAACCCACTTGAACGTCCCGTTTTCGAACAACGACATCACTTCAGCGTCGATGGCAATCTCCCATTGCTTCCAGTATGGTGAGTGGTTTGCTTCTGGGAGATTTAGCGGTTCTTTGATGGCTTCACCAAAAACTCATGCATCTGCGCTTGAGTTACTGTGCATCGCGCAATCTGCTACGAGAGCCGAACTGCTGCTAACTCCGACAGAAATGCGCCTTCGCAGTCGTCCTGGATCTGGTGTTGCTTGTCCACTTCGTCATTTAAATCCACGTCTTCAAGGTCATCGTCTCCTCCCGCCGAGGGGTCGACTTCAAAGAGCATTCTGTCTATCATGTTGACGTCTCTGGAAGTGAATATCGACCGGTTTGAGCACTTCGTATAGCCATAGAATCCTTTAATTTCTCCTGCACACCCGGTGAAGCTCCCAATTGTCCTCTAGTATCGGGAAAACGTCTCCTCTTGCGCGGACGCTGACCAGGCACTCTAGCGACGACTGCTTGTCCAAAGATTGGTAGATGTCCTACGTCGGGGCGCTGTCCGAAGATAGATTCGTATTGAGTAATGTTTGCACCGCGGCGAGAGATCCTGTTCCGTATGTACGTAGCATGCTGCAAGGTGTATTCCACAACTTCTGGGGCAAACCAGAGCCCACCAACATCGTCACTACAGTCTCAGTTACTGTGCGAATACTTCGCTCAGCGACACCGTTTTGAAACGAGGTGTAGGAGTCGTGTGCTGCGACAAGATGCCTTGAGTTCGGGCAAGCTTCCTGAAATCCTTGTTAATGAATTCAAATCTACCGTTGGTTCGTAGTTCCTTCAGGGACGTCGCTGAAACTGCAGCTTGTCTCTCAATCATAGCGAGGAATCATTTTACCATTGCAATGGTCTCAATTTTTCGTCTCGTCCCATACGTTTGCGCGAAGTCCGCAGACCAAATGGAAGACGCTTAGGTATTGGCTGGTTCAAGAATGGTCAGCGAGTATCAGGCTGTTCATCTTCCTTACGGGTTCAGCGCGCCCATCGCTTAAAACTTATCGGGTTGGTTTCGCTTACGCTACCTTTTAGGAAGCTGAAACGCCCTCATTGCC